GGGAGCTGAAACTCCGTGTTGCTCAGTGACAGCCCCGAAACCTGACAGATCTAGAGGAGATCTATGTGGAGGAGTGGGCCAAAATCCCTGTTGCAGTGTGTGCAAACCTGGTCAAGAACTACAGGAAAGGTTTGACCTCTGTAATTGCAAACAAAGGCTTTTGTACCAAATATTAACACTGATTTTCTCAGGTGTTCAAATACTTATGTTCAGCACTGCAAGACAAATAAATTCTTTAAAAATCATACAATGTGATTTCCTGAATTTTTTTTTTTTTAATTCTGTCTCTCAGAGTGGGAATGTACCTACAATGTGAATTTCAGACCCCTCCATGATTTCTAAGTGGGAGAACTTGCAAAATCGCAGGGTGTTCAAATTCTTCTGTTCCTCACTGTATATATATTCATGACAACCCTATAAAGCAGGGGTCTCCAAACTTTCAAAATGACGGGCCAGTTTACTGCCCTTTAAAACTTTAGGAAGGCCGGACTGTGGGCAGAGTAGAAAATGTTTTGGTGTCAGTGGGAGTTAACAGTGTCCCATCTTTGCTGTTAGTGGGAGAAATAGTGCCTCATTGTTGGTGTCAGGTGGAGAAATAGTGCCCCATCATTGGTGTCAGTGGGAGGAATAGTTCCTCATTTTTGATGTCAGTGGGAGGAATATTGCCCCATAATTGGTGTCAGTGGGAGGAATAGTGCCTTGTTGATGTCAGTGGGAGCAATATTGCCCCATAATTGGTGTCAGTGGGAGGAATGGTGCCTCGTTGGTGTCAGTGGGAGGAATAGTGCCCCATCATTGGTGTCAGTGGGAGTAAGAGTGCCCCATTGTTGGTATCAGTGGGAGGAAAAGTGCCCCATAATTGGTGTCAGTGAGAGGAATAGTGCCTTATTGTTGGTGTCAGGTGGAGAAATAGTGGCCCATCATTGGTGTCAGTGGGAGGAGTATTTCCTCATTGTTGGTGTCAGGTGGAAAAATAGTGCCCCATTGTTGGTGTCAGTGGGAGGAATAGTTCCTCATTGTTGGTGTCAGGTGGAAAAATAGTGCCCCATTGTTGGTGTCAGTGGGAGGAATAGTGCCTCATTGTTGGTGTCAGTGGGAGGAATAGTGCCCCATCATTGGTGTCAGTGGGAGTAAGAGTGCCCCATTGTTGGTATCAGTGGAAGGAATAGTGCCCCATAATTGGTGTCAGTGGGAGGAATAGTGCCTTATTGTTGGTGTCAGTGGGAGGAATAGTGCCCCATTGTTGGTGTCAGTGGGAGTAAGAGTGCCCCATTGTTGGTGTCAGTGGGAGTAAGAGTGCCCCATAGTTGGTGTCAGTGGGAGGAATAGTGCCTTATTGTTGGTGTTAGTGGGAGGAATAGTGCCCCATCGTTGGTGCCAGAGGGTGAAATAGTGCCCCATTATTGGTGTCAGTGGGAGTAAGAGTGCCCCATTGTTGGTGTCAATGGGAGGAATAGTGCCCCATTATTGGTGTCAATGGGAGGAATAGTGCCCCATTATTGGTGTCAATGGGAGGAATAGTGCCCCATTGTTGGTGTAAGTGGAAGGAATAGTGCCCTATCATTGGTGTCAATGTGAGGAATATTGCAGCATCGTTGGTGTCAGTGGCAGAAACTATGCCCCACTGTTGCTGACAGCGGGGGGAATATTAGCCCAAGGGCCGGATAAAAGCAAGCAAAGGGCCACAGTTTGGAGATCACTGCTCTAAAGTAATGGTATGGTGTAATTGTTTGGCATTTTTTTTTTCTTTACTTAATTTTTAAAACTCAGAGCAAAGTACAAGTGACAATAATATAAAGGTCAATGTCCCAATGTTGCAGAGTGAGATGAAGAGGAGCAAATCCCAGATCAATAAAGCTCAATATTTATTGATTGTTGTGCATTGACATTTGCGGAGAGAGATCCTGAGTTTGGGAATGAGAAAAGTGGAGCCTTTTATAAGATAGGGTTACCTTAGCCCAGGGGTGGACTGACAACTCATAGGGCCCCCGGGCAATAGGGGATCATGGGGCCCCTGTGTCCTTGTCCAAACTCAAAAAAGCCTATGAAAAAGGTACCAGGGGTATCTCATGAGGCCCCCTACTGACCCCGGGCCCTCGGGCAGTGCCTGAGTTTCCAAATGGTCAGTCCGCCCCTGCCTTCGCCCAATGAAGGATATAGGGTAGGGTAACTCAGAGTTAATTTTTTAATATTTGGTGTTAGGAGAAATATGGAATTATAGTAAAAAAAGTGCTAGTATTATAGTGACAGGATGGAATGGGGAGAAAGTATGAAGGAAGGAAAGGTCAGTGTAGAAGGTAAGGATATGCCTAATTAAAATGAGGTGAGTGTGGGAATAAGGTGTAGCGCTACCCCTGTAGGGGCCGCTGGCGACAGCTGGGTCTTCCCTTCCCTCACTCAAGTACCAGTCCATACGCTCTGGCTTCAATGAATCGGTATTGGGAATGTCTTCTTGTCATCTATTGCTAGAAGAAACTTTAGCAGGATAAGGGTTAGTGCATGGGATATCTCAAAAAGCTCAGCACCCAATGTTTAGAGGACAGGCTTATCCTTGAGTAATAATGAGTCTTGAACAGTCAAAAAACCTATAGCTGAAGACCATGAGGCACGTCTTGTAGGCATCTGGTTACCTTACGCTGATGCACAACTGCCAGTACCAGTGCAGTCACAGGGATCAGTTTAGGGTCTTTACTCAAAAGTCCCCAAGACAGCTGCCATCCTCCATCTTCCTCTGGACACGTTCCAGTGAGTGGGACAGCACCTCTGGAGATCAAGTCCTCTGTGGTGAGGTTCTGCAATCAGCTCCAAGCAGGGTCCATCCAGGCCCTCAGCCCTGACACAGCTGAGGCCTCTAGAGCAGCTTTACAGTCCATAAGCTGCCCAAGGACACCAGCCCACCTGGCTCTGAAACCCTCCTGGAAGGCCATTTTCCCAAGAGCAGAAAATGGGAGGCTTGGTTTTTTAGAGAATAAGTTATGGAACGAGTCATCCAGGAAGCCTAAGGCAAATCTAGGATTGACTTTTATTGGGTACAGAGGTGGATAAATCAGAGTAAGAGAGAGATCCTTGTTCAGAAATGCCTGTGCACAAACAATAATAGAAGAGCCTATAGCGGGGTGTGTTTTCAGCTACATGGGAATCTGCAAGGCACCCCAGAGGAATTTATGAGTAGCATGGAATTGGATTGTTCGAGGGTGAACGATTGCTTGGTACGACTTTAAAGATTTGTGTGGACATGAAACTACGAAATGACAGGCTGCGTGTTTTTTAATTATGTCTGGTAGGGCTATGCCCAGGGGCGGACTGACAACTCATGGGGCCCCCGGGCAATAGGGAATCATGGTGCCCCTATCCTTGCCTAAACTCAAAAAAGCCTATGAAAAAGGTACCAGGGGCATCTCATGGGGCCCCCTACTGACTCCGGGCCCTCAGGCAGCGCCCGAGTTTCCAAATGGTCAGTCCGCCCCTGGCCATGCATCCACTGGATTTGGAACTTAAGTCTAAGGAATCTGTGGGCCTACACAAATCTGAAAAATAGAGACTTGACTAGTCTCAGGTAGGATAGAGGTTTCTTTATGTGTAAAGAGAAAAGTAGATATTTGAAAGCATGGCAAGATTAACATTTTGATGATATTATAACTAACCTAAAAAAGAATTCCACTTCATAGACCAAGGTTTTTGGAGAAGGTATGGGAAATTCAATGAAAAAGGTATCTATCAGGTTAACTGGAATTAGGGTGAACACATATTCAATAGCTCATGTAACCCATTTACTATAGTTGTTGGTCGGTCATGGCAACACCCATTGCTTTGGATTTTTCAGTGTTTTCTTTTTAGATTTTTTTTTTCAGATAGTTCAGTAGTTTTATTCTAAAGTATGTGGACACTCCATAATATTATTGAGTTCAGGTTTTTCCAGTTGCAGCATAACTATGCCCAAATTTGTGCACACAGTCATCAATATAGATATGGTTTGAGCAGCATGGTGTGAAGGAATTCAAGTGACCTCAAAACTAAACACCTTTTGGATTAAATATAATGCCACTTGTAAGACAGGTCTTTTCATTCAACTTTAGTGCCTGACCTAAGAAATGTTTTTTTGGGCTGAAGAGTCACAAATTCGCACAGACACACTCTAAAGTGTTGTGAAATTGTTTCCAAGAAGAGTGGAGGCTGCTCCAGCCGCCATAAAGATGGGGCATAATCTCATTTTATGGTTACAGTTTTTCAAGGTTGAGAATTGCCACCACTACCAGGGGTGTATTTACCACAAGGCAAACAAAGCATTTGCCTAGGACGGCATTTTTCAGGGGGGCAGCGCTGTCCCCTGAAAGAAGGAATGGAAGAAGGGACACATGCAGCACGGGGACCAGGTGGGATCTGAGAGAGGATGCTTGATGGTGTATGCAGTGCACGGAGATGTCCGAAGCTGTGAAGGTGAGTGTCTTATCTCTTGCCGGGGTGGGGTGGGGGGTTGTCCAGTGGTAGTGGAAGGCTCTTTTGGGTGGGGGGGGGCTGGGGTGTTGTTGGTCAATGTCTGTGGGGGGGAGCCAATTTTTGTGTTGCCTAGGGCAGCACGAAACCTAAATACACCCTTAACCACCACCATCTATCCCTGCAAGAAGATCTCATTCTGTCAGTGCACAGGCTTCCTGCAGTTTATCCCTGATTTCCAGTAATTGGCAGAAGCAGGACTGAAGGAAATTCAGCACAGGGCAAAGCCTGGAGGGTGCAGCCTTTTTCATAACTTTTATATTTTTTAATTTTACATTTTTTTTATTTATACCAGTTTTGGCATTGCCTATAATTGTAGATCAACCATGTGCATGCTACAGTATCTCATACATAGACTCATTAAAGACCACTTTCTCCATTGGATGCAGTAGCTATCTTTAGCCACCTGCCGCCCACCATTTAGTACAATGACGGGCGCAAGGTGGTTTTCTTGTTCTGGGAGGACGTCATATGACGTCATCCCATTCTAACTGTGCATGCGCTGCTCCAGGAGCGCGCAGCGTGGCGATCGGTGGTGCGCTGTGTCCCTCGGCCACAGTGGATCACCGATCAACGGAAAGAGCCGAAGATGTCGGCTCGGTCATGGGATCAGCTGTGTCCAATCACAGCTGATCACATGTAAACAGGGAAATGCCGGTGATCGGCAGTCCTCTCCTCACAAGCTGTCATGCTGACAGAGGAGAGAGAGGAGAGCAAGTAGTCGGTATTCTTCGGAGGGGACATGTACACTGATCATCATAGCATTGATGATCAGTGTGCCCTGATGATCAATGTAGCCCCAGCAGTGCCACCTATCAGTGCCCATCAGTGCCAGCTGTCAGTGCTCATCCATGGCACCAGCCAGTGCCCATCAGTGCCACATTTCAGTGCACATCCATGGCACCAGCCAGTGCCCATCAGTGCCACATTTCAGTGCACATCAATGCCACATATCAGTGCCCATCTGAGCTGCTTTTCAGTGTCACCCATCAGTGCCGGTCAGTGCCACCGATCAAAGCCAGTCAGTGCTGCTTATCAGTGCCCGTCAGTGCCGCCTACCAGTGCCATATATGAGTGCTGCCATTCAGTGCCCATCAGGTATGCCTGTCAAAGCCCATCAGTGCCACCTACCAGTGCCTCCTCATCAGTACCCATCAGTGCAGCCGATCAGTGCCCATCACTACAGCCTTATTAGAGCACATCAGTGAAGGAGAAAATTCACTTATTTGCAAAATTTTATAACAAAAACTAAGAAAAAAAAAAAACTTTTTTTTCCCCAAAATTTTCAGTGGTTTTTGGTTTACGAAAAAAATAAAAAAACCCAGAGGTGAGTAAATACCACCAAAATAAAGCTGTCACAAAAAAAATGATAAAAATTCCATATGGGTACAGTGTTGCATGACCGCGCAGTTGTCATTCAAAGTGTGATAGCGCTGAAAGCTGAAATATGGCCTGGGCAGGAAGGGGGTATAAGTGCCCGGTAGACAAGTGGTTAAAATTAAACCGTTTAATAATACCACTGGTGAGTAGGTCTGGACCAGAAATGTATGCATATCCTCCGAATTAAGTTCAGAAATGAGTAAAGTAACATCTGTGAAATTGATTAGAAGTAGGACACTCAGTTTTGTTCAATGAGCCACTGAAAAGAAATTTGCTTGAAAAAAAAAAAAAGTGTCTATATATACAGTTGTGTTCAAAATAATAGCAGTCAGACATCTCTAACCTGATCAATCACTGTTTTTGGTAGAAATGATATTTCTTCTACATGGCAAATAATTTACTAGCAGGTGTAGTAGAGTAATAGAAATCCAACAGACCCGACAGTCATGACATGCATGCTGCTGATTCTGTGTAATTGAATCACTAATTGAAAGGGGCATGTTCAAAATAATAGCAGTGTGGAGTTCTATTAGTGAGGTCATTCATTCTTTGAAAAACAGGTGGCAATTATTGCCCTTATTTAAGGAAGGAAGGCAGCAAATGTTGTACATGCTGGTTTCTCTCTGAAATTCTGAGGAAAATGGGTCGTTCCAGACATTGTTCAGAAGAACAGCGTACCTTGATTAAAAAGTTGATTGGAGAGGGGAAAACATATAAAGAAGTGCAGAAAATGATAGGCTGCTCAGCTAAAATGATCGCAAATGCTTTCAAATGGCAACCAAAACCTGAAAGATGTGGAAGAAAGCAAAAAACTACCATTGGAATGGATAGAAGAATATCCAAAATGGCAAGGACTCAGCCAACAATCAGCTCCGGGAAGATGAAAGAAGGTCTAAAGTTACCTGTGAGTACTGTTACAATTAGAAGACGCCTATGTGAAGCCAAGCTATCTGCAAGAAGCCCCGCAAAGTCCCACTGTTGAAAAAAAGACGTGCTGAAGAGGTTACAATTTGCCAAAAAGCACATTAACTGGCCTAAAGAGAAATGGCGCAACATTTTGTGGACTGATGAAAGTAAGATTGTTCTTTTTGGGTCTAGTGGCCGGAGACAGTTTGTCAGAAGACCCCCAAACACTGAATTCAAGCCACAGTACACTGTGAAGACAGTGAAGCATAGTTGTGCAAGCATCATGATATGGGGATGTTTCTCATACTACGGTGTTGGGCCTATTTATCGCATACCAGGGATCATGGATCAGTTTGAATACATCAGAATACTTGAAGAGATCATGCTGCCTTATGCTGAAGAGGAAATGCCCTTGAAATGGGTGTTCCAACAAGACAACGACCCCAAACACACCAGTAAACGTGCAACATCTTGGTTCCAGACTAACAAGATTGATGTTATGGAGTGGCCAGCCCAATCCCCGGATATTAATCCAATAGAAAACTTGTGGGGTGACATCAAAAATTCAGTTTCTGAGGCAAAACCAAGAAATAGAGAAGAACTGTGGAATGTAGTCCAATCATCCTGGCTGGAATACCTGTTCACAGGTGCCAGAAGTTGGTTGACTCCATGCAACACAGATGTACAGCAGTTCTCAGAAACAGTGCTTATACAACGAAATATTCATTAAGTGATTCAAAGGAAAGCAAAATCTTCAAACATCTTTCAGTTTAGATAGAGAATGTTTGAGTGTGTAAAGAAGAATACAAACACTGCTATTTTTTTTGAACAGTCTAATATTCACTTTTCTTCAATTTTTTTTAGAGGAACAATACAAATTTGATATTTTTTTTTCATGTTTTGATTTGGAATAGAATGTGTAGTGTTCCCAATGCATTTGTGTGTATGGAAATAAAAGCTATTAGAAGGATTGTGAGCTTTATTCACTTTTTTCAACACACTGCTATTATTTTGAACTGTGTGTATGTGTATGTATGTATGTATGTATGTATGTATGTATGTATGTATGTATATACACACACATATACACATATACATACACACATATATATATATACATACACACACACACACACATATATATATATATATACATATATATATATATATATATATATATATATACACACACATATACACACACACCCATATATGTACACATACATACATACACACATACATACCCATATCCTGTATATATATACACACACACACACACACACACACATATACACTCACACACATATACACACTCACAGTATCTGTATATACTTTTTCTTTTGTTGGGGGGGGGGGGGGTTAACTATCATTCAGTGCTCCTTATTGTTTGTGGGTTTCTTTTTTTTGGCATGGTTTTCTAGTTTTGCTAATTTTTTTACTTTGTTTTTCAAACAATGAAGGTACTGTAATGCCATTTTCTGGCTCAAGAAAAGCTCCAGGATGGGTAGAAGATGCATTATTAATCCCAGATAACCTTTTGAAAGCCCACTGCACCCTCAATGCATTTGCACAAATCTCCTAATTTTCACAGAAATTACAAAGAAAAGAAAACTCTCATTTTCACTTTTTTCTATTTATGAAGCTGTCATTAGAACACATTCTCATATATAATAAAAAGTTCCAGACTAAGACTCTGCCTGCAAGAGCAAGCCCATCCAGGTCCTCAATATTGCAGTCTTAGGGCAGTTAGTTTATTTTTCCACAAATTAAAATGTACAGTCTACTTATAGTTCCAGTTCCCCCACTCTTAGTCTATACACCTAGAATAATAGATAGTAGGTCAAGAGATTTCTCAGCTCTTAGGTATTTGACTGCCATAGGAGAGTGATAGCCCAGGGCAGTTGGCCTGGGGAATAAAAGGCAGTAAGTTTAAATCCAGCCTTGGCTGTCGCAAGGGTTCAAAATCACTCACGAGACTGCTAGAGATTACCTGAATCGATCTACACTCAGCTTGAAGGCCTCAACTTGGCTATGGTTGTGAACTCATGAGTTGTACACATCAGCACCTTCTAAAATAAGTACATAAAAGGTCCCACAATGCAAAACCTGTACCTCAGCAGCCAGTAGGAGCAGATAACTGGTTCTTTTTATAATATGGTCCACCATCAGCACATACTGGCCTTTCCTCCACTCCACTAGAGCTCTGTTGAGAGCAAAGAATATCTGGCACTTCCAGGTATAAATATTCACAGTGCAGGGAGGAAAAAGTATGTGAACCTTTGGACTTAATAACTGGTTGACCCTCCTTTGGCAGCAATAATCTCAACCAAACGTTTCCTGTAGTTGCAGATCAGACCTGCACAATGATTTGGAGTCAGTTTGTACCACTCCTCTTCACAAAACTGTTTCAGTGTAGCAATATTCTTGGGATGTCTGGTGTGAATCGCTCTCTTAAGGTCATACCACAGCATTTCAATTGGGTGGAGGTCAGGACTCTGACTGGGCCACTCCAGAAGGCATATTCTGTGCTGTTGCAGCCATTGTTTTGTTGAATTACTTGTATGCTTTGGGTCATTGTCCTGTTGCATCACCCATCCTCTGCGGAGCTTCAGTTGGCGGACAGATGGTCGTACGTTTTCCTGCAAAATGTCTTGATAAACTCTGGCATTCATTTTCCCATCAATGACAACAATCAGTCCAGGCCCTGAGGCAGCAAAGCAGCCCCAAACCATGATGCTCCCTCCGCCATGTTTTACAGTGGGGATGAGGTTTTGATGTTGGTGTGCTGTGCCTTTTTTTCTCCACACATAGTGTTGTGTGTTCTTCCCAAACAACTCAATCTTGGTTTCATCTGTCCACAGTATATTTTGCCAGTATTGCTGTGGAACATCCAGGTGCTCTTTTGCAAACTTCAAACGTGCTGCAATATTCTTTTTGGACAGCAATGGCTTCCTCCGTGGTGTCCTCCCATGTACTCCATTCTTGTTTAATGTTTTCCTTATTGTAGAGTGTGTCAACAAAAATGTTAGCATGTGCCAGAGATTTCTGTAGGTCTTTAGCTGACACTTTGGGATTCTTCTTTACCTCATGCAGCATTCTGCGCTGTGCTCTTGCAGTCATTTTTACAGGACGACCACACCTAGGGAGAGTAGCAACAGTGCTAAACTTTCTCCATTTGTAGACAGTCTGTCTTACCGTGGACACATGAACATCAAGGCTTTTGGAGATACTTTTGTAACCCTTTCCAGCTTCATGCAAGTCAACAATTCTTGATCGTAGGTCTTCTGAGAGCTCTTTTCTGCGAGGCATGGTTCACATCAGACAGTGCTTCTTGAAACCAGTAAACCCAAAACAGGCGTGTGTTTTTTAAGGGCAGGACAGCTGTCAGCAACACATCCAATATCATCATACTGATTGGAGTCAAGGTTGGCTCACTCCTGGCTCCAATTAGCTCTGGGAGAAGTCATTAAGCTAGGGCCTCACATACTTTTTCCTCCCTGCATTGTGAATGTTTACACGTTATGTGCAATTAAACCATGGCAACATCTAATGTTTGTGTAGTATTATGTTCAGCAGACTGCGTTCTTCTATTGTTGTGACTTAGATGACGTTCAGAGCACATTTTATGCCCAATTCATGCAAAACACCACGTAATCCCAA